GCAGTACGTCAAAAATAGTAATGTCCTGTACGCGCTTACATTCTTGGCAAGAAAGTAACACCTTAATTTCTTTTACAGTAAATATATAGCTATATTGCACAGTGACATGTAGAACAGATGTTTCTAAAAATGCAAAGAAATTCCAGTCTGTTCATGTTGATGTGAAAGTCTTTGAAAACAAAATTAGTTAGCCAATGCAGCCATGGAAGCAGTATGAATATTAAAGAGTCAACCAATTCAACACCTTTTATTAATGGGGATGGCCATGACATCTTCAAATAAAAAGAGTGTATTTCAGATTCCCTATAGAAACAAAAAAGCGTTCCTTTACAAAGTTTTCAAAGTGCCGGACCATTCTTATATTCAGTGTTCCAGCATAACAAGCTTGACTCATCGCCAGATGACACATCAAGCGCAGAGAATTTGAAAAAGTGCTGCTTAACCTCACTAAAAAAATTATAGTTTTGAGAACAGGAAAGAAGGAAAATTGCTTTCTGATCCTTGACTCCACAATGCTCAAAAAGGGTAATGAATGTTCTGATAAGACATACTTCATTGGACAAATAAATCTGGTTTGAACTGACAATGTTATGTAAAGGGATGTCCAAGACTGTTTAGAAATCATTTTGAAGCATAAGAATAGCATACAAACTGAAGTCTATCGGGAAACTAGAAATTCAATTTGTCTGTGCAATAATTTTTTGCTTTTTTATCTTGGAAAACTTTTAGTCTTTAGTTTAACAAATATTTTACCTAACTGGTCAACTCCTATTGTAACAATTTATTATGAATGTGAAAGGGCATGTTTTAATGACAAAAATGGTGATTAATTGCATCTAAATTTTACTTAACCTGTAAATCAGATTAGATAGAGATTTGAGAACTTTGAATTTTCAACTTAAACCTTTCAGAGGCTGCCAAATGGACTCTCCCTATTAATTGTAGGGAGTTACTCCCTACAATTGTAGGAGTTACTAGTCTGCTTCCATCTTAAATTAATTAGCACCTAGTTGCCATCAAGTCATATGATGTAAGTATCCATAAGCCATACGCTTGTATGTATCCATAAGTACCTTGCAGAACGTACTTATTTTTCCCCTTCACCAAGTCAAGGTGTTTCAAGGGATGCAGAGGAGTTGTAAGTGGTGCAGAGGTTATTGGTTTGGGAATCGGCACGTTCACGAAATAAATTTTTCACTTAGTTGCAATACTGTTCTGAAACTTCAGCCATGACAGAGAACTTGACGCGAGTCTCCTGTTTATCCATACTGGTCTAGTGCAGATACTTTGCAATTTGAAGGCTTCATTTTGTTTCTCTTCCTCATATTCTGTATTTTTGTATGCCTGAGACAGACTTGACTAACACAAGGAGGTTACTGGGGAAAGGTTATTTCATATCGTAATTCAAATAATAAAAATCTGTTTGAACCTAAATAACTGGGATATGAGAGAAAAAGATTAATCTGTTAATCTGAGTTAGCAACAATTATTTTCAGAACTCATTGCACTTGCCTGTTCTGCCTCTGTGTGCTTGTTTCAGTTAAATGTTTCAGCTAAAATACCTTTTTTTCCCCACCTTTTCATATTTTCCCCCCTGTCCTGCAGAGAACAAGTTTGTTGCCTTTACTCTGATGAAATTAATTTCTTATAATACAAAACATAGAAAACATTAACCAAAATTAAACTGATGTATAATACATAGTGACGTGTAAAGTAGAGCTGAATGGTGGTGGAAAATTTTTAAAAGTGCAGCTTCTCAGAAGAGAGATTTTTTTTTTTTTTTTTTTTTTTTTAAATCCTCCCAGGTCAGCCTTTCTCTTGTTTTACTGCATTTGAAAAGCATCAAATATGAGCTATACAGAGTGTGGCTGCTAGAGCTGTTGCTGGTGAGAAATAGTTTTGTGGGTGATAAGCTCAAGTACTGGCTGAATTTCATGCCTGTTTTTTAGATTAATGGGCACAAAATGTCACTTTTGCAGGATTCAAAAGAACAAAGGAGGCATTGCAATTTTTTGGCTAGGCAATCTATGCTGTAAGTATACAAATGAAGGTGCTAACTCCTGCATCTGGGGTCGACAGAGATGGCTGTTGCATGGAGCTTGTTGCATGCTTGCCAGTAAGGATAGGTAGCTCACGAGGGCATATTTTACAGCACATCATTTTTTTTCCCATATTTTTTGGCTTGTTCTGCATGGGGAGAATAATTCTTTGTTGCTAACTAATAGCAACAAAAGCCTATTTATAACTCCCCACCCTTTCTTCCCACTGCCAGCTCAGTAATAGCTAGAATGGAGGACAGATGGCTTAAATATTTTAATTTGAGGTATTTGTAAGAAAATCAATAGTGAGTGAAAAAAGAATGGCATATAGGATGAAGCATTTTAGCCCCATCTTCCTCCTTGATATAACCATGTTAGATCAGTTGGTGCATTGTCCTGATTAGGTAGTTGTGAACATTATCATAGTGTTATTAAAGATACCATTGATTTTTTGGTAAAAAATTTCAGATTTTTTAGCTGTAGCTTGGGGAAAGGAAAAAAAAGTGAAAGATGATGCTGTATGTGTTTATTTATTTATTTTCATGGGCTACACTTACAGCTAGACTATTGCAGTGCAATCTGTGGCAAATTGTTCCAAAAATAGCCAATCGAACTTAAAAATAAATAAAATAAACACAACCCCAAACGATATTTTGCACACTCTATCATCCTCAGATCTATGATGTCAAGAATGAGAATTCCTTCTGTCCAGCAATCTGCTGTCTTACATATCATGTATGGGTCTGGGTTAGTTAGAAAATGAGAGATGCAGCAGGTTATGATCTCTGGCTTGATTCAGTTGCTTAAAAATAGTTTTCTGCCATTTGCAAATGCAGCGTGGGGTCTGAGCCAGCTGCATGGGAGCCAGCACATGGGATCTATGGGAACCTGCGACCTTCTGGGCGAAGAGCTCGAGGACACTGGGAATATCATAGGCCATGTCCAGAGGCATTAGGTACCTGTGAAATACATTGAACCTGATGTTCTCAAGGTTTGAATGATTTCATGGTTTGAATCTCAAACACCTTTCAGAATTGAAGAGACAGCTTCAGGCTTACTTCTCCAAGGACCTTGGGTAAAGCTCCTTGTGTCGGTCTGCAGAGTGGAAATGCTGCATCAACTTCATATCGTTTTTTCCTAAGATGACAGATGTGTATTAAAGTAAATATAAGCTATTGCAATTAGATGATCTACTAGGGATTAGTAATTTTTCTGACAAAGCTAAATCTTTATTGTGAATAGACAGGTCTCAGGAAAAGAAAAAGGAGTCTGTATTTTGCAAAATATTTCATTTTTAGCATAATTTCTTGTTCAGCCCTCTTATTCCCTTCCCCCAGGCCCCCCCCAAATGTGTGTAAGATGTTCAAAGATATAAATATGGGTGACATATTTAGGTTTTAAGAAGCTTTTCTACTTGGTTAGATAGTGAATGGATTGGTATATGAAAACATAAAGCAGATATGCAGGGGTTGGGGAGCGATTATGCACAGGAATACTGAGGAAACCATTCTAAGAAATAGAATAGTAGCTAAGAAATCTGTGTGTTGCTTATGAGCTTCTTGGGAAGAAAAAGGTTCCCTTGTTCCGGGTGGGGGGAAAAAAAGGGTTTTACCAGCGAGGTGCTGCCTGTTTTAAGAGACACAAGAGTTTCTACTCTTAATTTTTCAGCAGATGATGTAAGCACAGCACACACAATCATCCGTTCGGGAGGTCTCCTCCACTTAGCGCAGTCTGACAGCATTAAACAAGGCCTGGAAGTGTTTGAATTTTCTTCACACTAGCTGAGCAAACTGACAAAACATTAAGCATCACAAGTGTTAACACTATTTGTTTACGATGAAATACTAGGTTTTGCTGCAGGGGTAGAAAATAGCAGTAGTGATCTATCACATGGTACAGCTAAAGAAACTCTTGGGAGATGTACAGAAACACTAGCATGACAATGCTCGGCAAAGAAAGATTTTTCAGCCAGCTGCTTGCTTCTACATTTGTCATGTACGTGTAGTAGCTTTCTGCGTCTTCATAAAAGCAGGCGCTTGCAGAGGCCTGCTGGCTGTAGTATGGCTGGTTGGAATACCACTGTAGATAAATAAAATGGATTATTATTAAAAATGAAGGCGGTTGCTGTAGGTGTCTGGGTGATGTTTCTAGCACTGCATGGATCTGCATGGGTGGTAACAGTGGCAAAAATCTATATTTGACAGAGGAGAAAGAAGGACGAAAACCTTTGTTATTTCCTTAGCACTTTGTGTAAGACAGATGGCTTCAAACAAATGAGTATTTACTTGCACATGCCAAGCATACTTTAATATGTTAGCCACAACCCAAAAGAAAAAAAAACTGCCTTGACTCCTTAAAATACTGGCTTTCACAACAATTCTCAATGTTTATTTTCTTCTCCTTTCTACTTTGTGAAGTTAAAAAAAAAAAAGAAAAAAAAAAAAGGGGGGGGTGTAGAGGGGGGCGAGGCCGGTGCGGGGGCGGCGGCGCTGGGGCGGCCCCGCGCACATGCGCGGCGGCGGCGGCAGCGGCGGCGGCAGCGGCAGCGGCGGCAGCCGAGCTGCCTGGGCGCCGCGGCGGCCGGGGGCTCCAGCGGCCCGAGCGAGTGGCGCAGATGCGCGGGTGGGAATTGCGCCCTGGTTAATTGTGTGTCTGGAGATGGAGCTTGATGCCTGGTTTTGGGTACTGACATTTTCAAATGTTAACCTTTGCCTGGAAATTATTCCATGCTAAATCTGTTCAATTAAGAAAATATTCTCTCCAAATATCTGTCACATTCAACAGAACCAACATTGATGCAGTGCCCTATATTCCAATTATTTCTCATATTTTTGAATTTCTCTAAGCTGCAAGAACAACTTTGTAACTGTCTTAGAAATTGATATTTATCTTTTTTTTTTTTTTTTTTTTTTTTTTTTTTTTTTTTTTTTGTCTGTCTGTTAAACGTCTGATAAAATGCAGGGGAGATCTTCACAACCGGCTTGGACGCAGCCCTGTGCCACGGGCTCTAGGTGACCCTGCGTGTGCAGGTGATCTCTAAAGCGCCTCTCCAACCTTAAGGATCCTGTAATTCCATTTTTTCAGGAAATCCTGAATAAGAAAACTTGAAAAGCAGAATATATTAAGATGATATGTCATTAAGGAAGGCGTATAAGAACAATCCTGTTTTTAAAGATGAAATAGTAAATTAAGCTGTCACAGCTACGAAACATATCCATGTAGGCACAAGAGATAAGGTCAGCAAAGAAAGTTGTGTGATAGATATATGTATTTGTCATGTTAAGAAGATACATTCAAAACAGTAGTTGATTTTATGCCTGTGCTTTTAATCTGTTTCTTTTATACAATTGTTGCAAAGTTATGTCCTTTTAAGGAGAAGGGAATTCCATATTTAACTTTCTGCTGTCTACAGGTTAATAATTTGACATTCTCTTGGACACTGGGTAGGTTAAGACTTCGTACCTCCCACACTCTCCTTTAAATCACTTTCATTGTAAGAAAACAGAATATTCTAAAACATTGAAATTTCAAACAAAAATATATGCCAAATAATAAATGGTTTACCATCTTTTCTGGCAATACATTAATATGCTAGGTAAATAAGGTTAAATTGCACTTTTTTATTTTTATATTACAGTAGTCAGTTTTCTTTCCCAAAGGCAGTCATCTATCCACACTCATACATACTTCTATTGCACAATACAAATTTAAGAATACAGAAAAAATAATTATATAATTATATATATTTATATATATATTTTTATTATATAATATACATATATATAATTATATATATATATATTTTCCTGTTATGGAAATGTAGGTTTGATTCCTTTCTTTTGGGGCGCCACATCTTCTGGGAAACAACCCTTTACAGATGGGAGACAATTTTCTCCTGTGCAGTATCACAGACAGACACACACACACACACCCCCCACTCGAGGAATGGAGTTCGCCCCTTCAGAGCTGGAGAACAGCACACATCTTATTTTTGCTCCTGTGCTGTCCGTACCTCCCAGTAGTGATTGTTCTTTGCATGCAGAAGGTACCTCTCATCTGGCCGTGTGTAGAAGGCAGCTGTGCTTTTCACAGTGTGGATCACGAGGCTGTGTAAGCAGAGGCTCGCCCGTGGTGGGTGAGCAGGCCTGTATTCGCCGTCACGGGAAGGATGAACAATTCTGCTGAACTGCTAACCTGAAATAATTCTTCCCCAAGTGCAGCTCTGATCCAGTGCTGCTGGTCTTCTGCCCAGGGCGGTGTCAGTATGGCCAGGAAACTGGACAGAAGTGTTGGGAAAGAAGCAGATCACTAGTTTATGTTTACAGCATTGCAAACCTTCCTTTTGGACTTGCTTATGCTTATATTCTTTTCTTACATAAAAAGATTGGGCTGGGAGGGGAGCTGGAAACACATTGCATTTTGGTAGGTTTACAAGAAAAACATGTGCTTGATAGGATTTACCTGCTTCCCTGTCATGTTAATGTTTTCAGAGTAAACGTAGATAAAATTGCATGGAATACACTGCTTGAAATCATTCTTATGGCTATGGTCTTCCTCAGGCAAAATAGGTCTTTGGCACTGTGAGCTCACAGCAGGCTGGAACTGGAGACGGGATTTCTTTTCGGAATCACCTTAGTCACGCCTTGACTTCCACAAGAAATTGTGGGAGCAAAGCCATAATTGAAACATAGTGTGATGAAACATCTCCTGGGTTATCAGATCTAAAACCTGCTGTTGCAGATGCTTACAACATCTGGATCAATTTAATCAATGCAACCCCCATCTTTAAATATGTTTGCTCCCACTAGGAATCATTTCCAGACTGTCATGCCTTTGATGCAAAGCAAGCTTCTTTTTAAACTAATTTATAGACAACTTGTTTCTGTTGAAGCACTGATTTTTTACATAGCTTGGCTAATTCTGGCTCATTTCTTTTCTCTGATGTGTTTCTAGGGAACAGGATTCTTTACCTTACTTGCACCCCTTCATTCTGTTGAGCAAAGATTAATCTTTTTTATATTATTATTCTATGAAGTCTTTTCTGTCTATGCTTCGGTAAAGGTAATGCTAAAGGTAAAAGGTATGCTTCTACCTTTTATTAGCGGTAGATAAATCCATGGCTCATTTCAGGTGAGATTTTGTTTTGAAACTCTCATGTTCAATATATCTGGGCAGTGCTGATAAAGCATGGAATTGCATTCCTTCCCCTTTTCAGTAAACACTCAGCAAGTGATTGGTCTGTTCTTGCAAATGCTGATGCTGGCATAAAGGATGATACTTACTGCTATCAGTTAAAATTATTTCCACTCCCTGATACAAAGCATATACTTAAGTGCATAAGCTGAATACTGTGTAACCTGTAATTTGAATCATAAGCCTTTTCAAAAAAAACCTTATGGACATAAAGCTGTAGCTTCAAGATGCCATTATAGGTCATGTCCCTCTGTATTATTTGCACTGAGGAATAATTTGCTTGCCCCACAGATAATGTTGATTGGTCTCAAGAGGAATTTTATAAGAGAAAAGAGAATCTTCTACTGGTAGCATGATGGGGATTCTCATTATAGTATCTAGGTATAAATAAATCTTTTTATAATCACTACAACAGAATGGCCTGAAGAGAGAGAATGGGTTTGAACTACAAAATGTTTATAAGGAGTTAACTCATGACACGAAAAAGGGCAAAATTTGATGGTTTGACTATGGGTAATTCTGCCTGTTTAAAAGGGTTTTGGCAGCTGGATGGAATTACTATTTTTGGTCCTTTATAAATGCCAACACAATGAGAACTGCTTAAGTTGACTGTGTAGTAAAAAGGAGACGTTGTTTTGAACATGTAACTATATCAAATGTAGATTTAAAAAATAATAATCTGTGGGGGAAATGTGCAGGGCCAGTCTTATATCAGGATTTAGGCCTTTTATCCTTTCTGAGGCAAATCTAATGCAAAACAGTTTGGAAACGAGCCTTGCTGTTGAGGCTGCTGAAAATGATTCAATAGCAAATAATTCATGTTCTTTTGAAACTCAAATGCTGTCTCTGCCTAATATGCCATTTGGACATGGCAATGCACCATATCTCACACAAGACTTAATTAGAAAATGGCATTTTACTTTGAATTTTACCTGCTCTGTCTAGACATACCGATTAGATTTCCCATCCTCTGAGGTATTTTTGACTGCTAGTGATCTAATGTAAACAACGAGAAATACTTACTTACCTCTGTGAACCCGTGGGCACTAGCTGCATTATAGCTGATACTCATCAGAAATGCTAAAAAGCCTGACAGGAGTTCACCTGCTGCGAGTCACCAGCTAAGGAATGACAATAGTGTGTGTGTTTTCTCTTAGGAGAAAACTTAAGGCCTTCTAATGCTGTATTATCATCTACTTATTGCTCACTTTGAGTCCTTTGTTAGGCTATTGACTTTTTTTTAGGATCAAATGCGCCTTTCAACAGCTTCCTTAAAAGCTAGTCAAACACAGCTTTGTTTAGGAGTTTCCACAAATAAAGGTTAAATCAACTGGCGAAGCAGCAAGATTTTCATATCTATCGAGTTATATTCTAGTAAAGAGAGGGACTAGCCCCTCAGCTTGTATAGGTAGGAAACCTTTCAAGATGCAGCAGTGGGTCTGAGCTGTCAAATGCGGAAAATGATGAAGAACAGACGTGTGCAGGCACATGTGGAATGCAGCTTCTCAGAGGAACATAAGGACAGCAGTCTCACTCTGGTGCAAGCGGTAAGGGTCTGGTTTATTTTTGTAAGTAAATTTTGAAGGATCAGGCAGAAAATCAATTGCTGGCGTAAGAACATAACAGTTGCTCACGTGATACATTTTCTTCAGAAAATGTGGAAACCTGTGTGCAGTCTGTACTATTCACTTGCAAACTAGTCTCTCTCCCAGTTACATTTAACATTAATTGATTTGCAATATCCATTTGGTTTTAGAAAATGATGTCGTCAATACTTGAAATAGTGACCGTGGTGCTAACTTTGTCCTCTTTGACCAATAAAGCTCAGTTTCCTCCCTCTAATTCTAGTGTTGTGTTTGGCTGCTCTTTAGAACACATTCATACATCAATGAAACCGTCCTGCATTCTGGTATGAAGACTACCAGGAGCTGTATGTGCTATGAAGAGAGTTTGGTCTCTTCTGCAGCCTGAACCATGGTTAATTCTGGCCTATGGTCCCACCTCCCCGAAATCTGCATCCTGGGGAAGTCTTATGTTTCAATTGCTATTTGGATCTTTGTAGAGGATTGTCAGCAAATTAGAAGATTAAATTTCACGTCTGGAATTTGTTACCCTTGGTCACTGCACTCGCTCCGCCTGCTCCTCAGTCAGGAAGGGCGGCTGGCTCTGTGCACAGCTCTGTAGGATACAGCTTTGCTGTAACTTGTTTGTTCTTCGTGTGCAGACTGTTCTGCTGAGCTCCTCTCCCACCACTGTCAATATGGAAATAGTGTGTCTAGTCTCCTTTTGGCTTCCCTGGAAGCCGCCTTTTTGAGTTTTAGGAAGAACAGAACACTGCCAGAGGGAGCAATTTTATGGAGCTTTACAGAACATATTAATTTATATGATTGATTATTTTGGTCACAGAAAATAAAGATTTAGATTGAATCAGTCTTTAGAGACAATTTATTTAATGTAATTCAATTATTCTGACTGCTATGAACAATTAACAGGGTTTTAACTTCAGTTTAACCTCTGCTCAGCATTGAATTAATTCTAATATTTCCTAGTAGAGTATTTAGAAGTCTACAATATTGGTGATATGTGGCTTTCCTTTCTTCCCTTTTCTTGTTTCCAACATGTCAAATCTGTGCTTCCTACTGTCCCTTTGTGGGAACTCGGCTTTGCTGTTACAGCATAACACGCAGGGGGCTGTGTGCAGGTCAGTCTGCCCTCGAGTCAAGTATGGGACCTGTTACCTTTATGACCCCTGTGGAGTCATGGATTAACTCTTGCTCATTCTTTAGTGGCAGAAGCCGTTTTGCCA